GCCAACCTTGTGAGACTTTCGGAATGCGTAGTGAGGCGATATAACAGCAGTTAACAAAACATCAGGTCAACTTCAAGGTATTCTGGTTCAACAGCATAAATTTCCTTGAACCTTAGTGAGTGGAGCAGGCGACACGGGAAAATGTACTAGTGAGAGACCAAAACCAAAAAAGCGAAAAGCACTTGCCCACGAGTGAGATCACTCCGCCCACCTAACTAAAAGAAATGGATGAATCTCAGAAGGGAGGCATAACACAAGCTATTTGGTGGTTGCCAAAAACAAGAGAGTCAGGGTTTTGGTTTGGTACGAGACTTGGATTTGCTTCCCGTTCAAAGTAGGTATAAACAGTATTCCTTCTGCCATATTACTCAACAAACCTTCGACTAGGTATGCTCAACCCTTGAAGTACGTATTAGAATGGAGATTGTGATGATGACAAAATGAAAAATAAATAAATAGAAGGGAACGGCGCTCAGAGGAAGCTCAAAATAGTGGAATGACGTATTCAAGTGTTCCCGAAGAACAGCCCTCGTAATGAATTCTATTTCTAGGATTCAAAAACGAGTTGAGCTCCATGTTAAAGGAACATCCATACGTGTATGTATTGGATTTTGAAATGATTTTTTTTAAGTTATGGTTTTTTAAAGGAGTACTGTAAAGTAAACTCTATCTTGGGAAGATAGAAATAATAATAGAAGAGAAAACTAGATCAAATCAAGGGGACAGTAGGAGATCGAAGAATGTCTGCACCATTTGCATGGATTTTCCGAAAAACTAAATCATTATAGGAAGTGATCGGTGAGAAGAATGGAAAGAATGACGTCATTTGGGAGCTTTCAAGCTTCTCTGGGAATTCAAATGTTGTGGAATGCTACTATTCTGCAGAACTATCGACATGGGAACAACTCACTCTATTCAAAGGATTTTTCATATTCACTGGCTCTTTTGTTATCTGCCAGTTGACAATATCTACAACTAGTAAATCGCACAAAACCTCGAAGTACAATCCCTAGAGTACAAATATTTCGCCACATCCCGTTTCTGCAAAGTTTTCCCACATCCAGTTTACAAAATAAGTCAATGTGAATAGTTCACAAGGAAGATTGGTGGAGAGATGGCTGTTTTCATTCATCTGAATGCACCACCATGTCAATACCCACTCATACACCACCACTCCTCCGGATGCATGGCGTATCCTGGACGAGGGTTGAAGGCTTCTCGCAAATTCTTATAATAAACTTTTTATGGAACAGAATGAGGTCATATGTCGTCAACCTTAGGGCAGTATACTCAGTTATGGATGGCATATTTAAAACCTGAAAATTGCAGCATTATCTCAAGTGGTAGAAGAGTGGATATAGATGGAATTGAAAGAGACTTCGATGGGAAATACTTTTATCCATATAGGACAGGCTTATTATATAGATGTATGAAGAGGTAGACAGGCCGAAAAACAGGCAGATTTTCAGAGCAATTACGCTATCGACCACGGCTGTTCACCGGCGGCTCGCCATAACCCGGATATCTCGTCAACTATGATTCACATGATTGCGTTTTCACCTTTTTTTTCTAAAAGTGGGACCACCGAACGTAGCCACAGCCACCAATCGAGCTTAGCTGAACCAGTAGACGAACTGGGGTCAGATTCAGCCACAGTTTAGCTTATGGCTTGAATGAAGGCCCTATACGTAAGAAAACAGCACAAAGTTATTACTGTAAACGAAGCGGGGACCTTCATGCCTTCCTGTACAGCCACTAGTTCGTATTTGAATCAGTGCAGTTCTAGCTAGAACACTTTTGCGATCCCCGAACTATTTGTTCCTTAATGAATGACTCTGAGAATCACGATTCTTGGCTAGGCCCGCGGTGCTCATTTGCAAGCGGACTGAGTCGTACATAAATAGGTATAATGCATAAAATAAACTACACAGTTACGCAAATACAGTAAGCAAATAAAGACAGAAGCACTGTAAGTTCTAATTCTCTCTGTTTACTCCTTGTATAGAAACGTATGTATCAAATTCAGGTTCAAATGTGAAAAAGGACCACATTCCACAGTCACTCTTGTATCTGAGTGGCACTACCGATAGTCGAGCAAGGGCCGTCGCAATAGCCCACTACTGACTCTACGGTCCAAGGGACAAGGGAATTCGTGGACCGCCAAAAAATTGAAGACTTAAAATGAACATAAGTGTAGGCTCGTCCTTTCATTGTTTTTTTTAAAAAGCACATGTGAACTGTCTACACTTACCTCAATACAGAGGANTGCTCTTTGTCCCTTTCACTACCGAGACCCCGCTTGCCTTGTCCTCCTAAAGACATTAAAGACACAATTCAAGATAAAAATGTTTTCTTAACGATAAAAATAATATATTTCTGATGAATGTGTGCTCTTCCAGTATACCATAGGTGACGCTGTTGTTTCCGTTAATGACCTCGATAGATCGCTAGAAGGACTCAGACATTGTGTTGGTTGAGCGCCGCACCCATAGCGGACGAGTTTCACCGGCGCTGTAGAGGCCGCGCTGTCTCAGGGGACTCCCATGTAGAAAGTTCAGGCGCTTTACCATAACCCATGGCGACTGTGAAAGACAGTTTTGGGCAGTTTCGGCTTAATGTAGTCAGCTCTTTGCGCAATTGCTGCGAGTGGAATCTCGTCCAAACAGTTCTCAAGTGATTCCCATCATGATAATCTTGTCCAACATTCTCGATTTTCTCGCCTTCTTACCATGGTAACTTATAAACAATCACCTACAAATGAGTTTGATGCTTTCCAAAAGCACGCAATCGCCCTCCCCTTAAAATATTTGGTGTGTATGTGTCTGCCTGCCTATCCACTATTTAATATTTGCAAGTTTACAAAGCTGCGGTTCAGAAGGGTTCACGAGTTCGGAGAACTGTTAGCTCTATCAACAAAGTCTAAGACCAAGCTTAGACCATTTTGTACAGTACGACTCGAGAGACTTTCGGTATTATTCATAGCAAACTGTGTGAAATTTCTGTTCTATGTAATGTAAACATATTATTCCTAAAGTGCTACCGATAATCTTTGGAAAGCCAACCTGTTTTGATGTAGAAAACCGGCTGGATATTAGTTTTTCTTTCGTTGGTTTGATTTATGCAACAACTAAACTGAAGGCTGAAAAGAAACTCGATAGAGATGAGTCCCAACTAGCTTAAGTCTCTCAGTTCCGTCTAAGGCAACAAGGCTGAAAACTAGCCGAACGTTGCGATGGATCCCTGATCGAGTCCTTATATTTACACTCATGATTCCCTTATCTAATTCCTTTCCTTTCTCGCTAATTACTTGAAATAAAGATGCAAGTACGCTCTATAAAGAAGACAACAGTATCCTATTATCCCTTTATCTCACACCCAGATTACAGCCTTCACATTTAAGCATACAGTACTTACATGTGGTATGGGGTCAGATCGGTAAAAATCAAAAAAAATGTTAAAGGCACAGTTCACGATAAAAATGGTTTTTGAGATTCCCCACAGGATGAATTTGAGGACCCTGCGTATACCACATCTGGCACTATTAGGTCGGAAAACGGCCTAGTTAGAGAGTTATAAAGGCTCAAAGATTG